GATACTACCTTGAAGGGTGGATTTGAATCCAGATGAGGGAACGCGGTAAGAATGTATGGAATGCGGGTGGAGTGGAGCATATTAGAGTTCTCTATGCTTAGAATAACTTATCTTTCAATCAACCATTGGCATCCAAAAATGTGTTTACTCTTAGTACCTAGAAAGATTGTCATCCATCTATGCTTGTTTGTAGTTGATTTTCTTCTTTATTTGCTCCTTTGTTTTGGTTTGTCTTGAGCATGTCGCCAAGAGTTGTGGGTTAAACTCTTTGGAAACCCCCACGAGAGCATACTCGTCCTCATTGGCGACTTTGAGGTTTAAATGGCTTGTTGTTTATGTTAAAAACAACCGTGATTCCTACGAAAGTGAGTTAGTGTAAATTCCTTCCCCCCCTCTTTTTATTTTATTTTATTTTATTTTATTTTATTTTTATTTATATTGCTTGTGTTTGGATAATCGTTTCTCAATCTTCTTTGCCTTTAGCTTTGCTCGAGGACGAGCAAAGGTCTAGCTTGGGGGAATTTGATGAGTGACATTTATGTCGCTCTTAGGATAGTCTTTTCTAGTAGTTTTAGTAATAATTCAGTTCATTTTAGTATGTTTTTGCTATGATCCTCCTATTTCGAGTATTCTACCTTTGTGGCGCGTAATGTGTATTCATGTGGTTTAGGTAGTCTATACTCCCCTCCCCTTTCGTTGTATCACGCCTTGCCTTCCTGTTCCATGATTGCAGGCGTATGCTGTTGATTCAGAGATGGAAGGGATAAGGGCAAAACAGGAAGAAATCCAAACCAGACGAATGGCGCGGGCGCGCAACCAAAGGAGCGGGCGCGCATCTATAGAGCGCGGGCGCGCTGATGAGCGGGATCAACCATTAAATACCCTCTTTGGAGCGGGCGCGCATTTCTAGGAGCGGCCGCGCCATCATTTAACGCGCGGGCGCGCCACTGTTGGGCGCGGGCGCGCCTCTCTGCTGCTGATTCAAATCCCGATTTCAGCCCAAGTTAAAGGAAAAAAAAAAGCAAAAACGGCTAAGGAGGGGGAGGAAAAGAGAAAAAAAAAACTAGCATAGAAACCCAAGGAGAGAGCTCAAAAATATCAATTTCTAGGTCTTTGTTTTAGAAAAATTTTGTATTGAACAATCATATAGCTTTTAGTGTAATTCTCATTGTCTATCAACATTAGTTTTACTTTTAGTTTTTGAAGAAGTAATTTTGCAACATTGATGTATGGTCAAGCTTGGAGATTGAAGATTGAATGATGTGTGGCTCTTTATTTGGATTTCAATGAAGGTTTTGGTATATTTCTCTATTGTCTCTTGCTTTTATGATTAAAGCTTCTACTCTTGTTAATTTAGTTGATAAAAACTTTGTCTTTCTTACCATTTCATTGGTTATAATGTTGCTTAGCATGATTGTAGTTGTAGTTATGACTAGTGAGTAGTTTCTTGTTGCTAGGGGTTTGGTGAAGATATATTTTGAGTTTGATGTATGTTAGGCTAGGTTAATTTGGAATATTTGTGATTAAATCTTCCTTGTGCTTATACTTATTAGTCACTCCATATTTATGGCCATATGCATGTTGTGGTTGAATGACGTGAACTAAATCGTGACGATAGTGCGATTTAGGAATAGTCATTAGGTGATTGATTATTGCATGACCTTAGCTTGTATGCCTTACGACGATAGTGTGAGCGTATGTTAGCTAGGAAGGCTCTTAATCCCGATAGGTGATTAGAGAGTATTCTTGATATTGCCTTGTATGAGTCGCTTGGGTTACATGTAAACCTATTTTCCGATGCCTAACTTCGTTGAAATCAAAGCATGTTTGATCCTTCCCCCTAGTACCTATTTTAATTGTTGTTCTATCCCCTTTAGTCATTACTTTACCCACCACACTTCTTGATCGAATTAGATTAACATTAGGAGATAAATAGCGGTGCTTAATCGTTTCCCTGTGTTCGACCCTTAACTTGCCTCTATACTCTTTTAGTTGCATGTTTAGGACTACAAATATCATTTGATAGAGGTGTCTTAGTGACGACCTAAAATACCGCCTGTCATGGCCCACCAAGCCTTGTATTCCAACACGACCGACAAATGACAAACCTTGCCATAAACCAATCAGTAAGGGGTTGTACCAAAGGGGGTCTTGTACGCCGTCATTAAGGCCCAAAGAGTATCATCGAGTTTGAGAGACCAATCTTCTCTAGATATAGCTTGTTCACCATCCTCTCAAGGAGGTTCTTGATCTTCCTATTTGATACTTCCACTTGTCCTTGAGTTTGGGGGTGGTAAGATAGGCCGACTTTGTGATGAACCCCATATCGTTGGAGGAGAGTTTTGAGTTGTTTCTTGGAAAAATGAGAACCACCATCACTAATTAGAACTCTTGGAACCCCGAATCGCGGGAAATTAACCTTCTTAAGGAGCATGAGCACAACCTTGTGGTCATTGGTGGGGGAGGGTATAGCTTCAATCCACTTGGTCACATACTCCACCGCCACAAAGATATAGAGATTTCCACAAGAGACAAAAGACCCCCCAAACATCAAAGGGCTCAACCTCCAAAATGCTTTGTTGAGGCTTTTCGTCACGTTTGGTTATGCCGCCACTCCTTTGGCACTTGTCACACCTTGCAATGAACTTATGGGCATCCTTGTGCATTGTTGGCCACCAAAGAAGAGATTGAGAGATCTTGGCCACGGTATTTTCAACTCCTCCATTCCCTCCACACGGCAATGAGTGGCAATGTTCAAGAACCCCCTCGATCTCATGATCTTGAACAAATAAGGATCATTCCAAAAATATCTCCTCACTTCTTTGAAAAATCTTTTCCTTTGTTGAGAGGAGAATTCCGGGGGAACGACTCCACATGCTAGATAGTTCGCAATGTCCGCATACCAAGGGCTTGATGTTGACGCCATAGCCATGAGGGTCTCAAATCCCACTTCATCATTGATATGAACATCTTCCTTATTCTCAAAAGGAAGCCTGGACAAGTGATCTGCTACATAAATCTCCGCTCCCTTTTTATCCCTCATCTCAATATCAAAATCTTGTAGCAAAAGAACCCAATGGATGAGACGCGGTTTTGCTTCCTTTTTGGTCATGAGATAACGAACCGCTACATGGTCCATGTACACGATCACCTTGGAGCATATAAGGTAGGATCTAAACTTATCCATGGCAAAGACAACCGCTAGCATTTCCTTCTCTGATGTGATATAATTCCTTTGAGCTTCGTCGAGTGTTCTACTTCCATAGTAGATGACACAAGATCTCCCTTCTTTCTTTTGTCCAAGTACGACACCTATTGCAAGATCACTAGCATCGCACATTAATTCAAAGGGCAAGCTCCAATCCGGAGCTTGCACAACAGGAGAGGAGATGAGAGCTTCCTTGAGTTTTCGAAATGCCTCAAGGCAAGCCTCATCAAAATTGAACACAACATCCTTTTTGAGTAACTCGGTTAAGGGCTTGGCGATTGATGAAATTTTTTTGATAAACCTCTGGTAAAAACCGACATGCCTAGAAAAAGCTCTCACTCCCGTCACGGAGGTAGGAGGGGGCAACTTAGCAATCACCGAAACCTTAGCCGAGTCGACTTCAATTCCCTTTTTTGATACTTTATGGCCTAGGACAATACCTTCCTCGACCATAAAATGGCATTTTTCCCAATTCAACACTAAACTCGTCTCTTGACACATTTTCAAAACTTTTTCAAGGTTAATAAGACATGTGTAAAAAGACGAGCCACCATAACTAAAATCATCCATAAAAACATCAATCTCATTCTCAAGCATTTCAGAAAAAATGGAGGTCATGCATCATTGGAAAGTTGAGGGAGCATTGCATAACCCGAATGACATTCTTCGGTATGGAAATGTCTCGTATGGACACGTAAAAGTAGTTTTCTCTTGATCATTTGGATGGATGGGAATTTGGAAAAAGCTAGAATATCCATCCAAAAAGAAAAAGAAAGCATGATGGGAGAGTCTTTCCAACATTTGGTCCATGAAGGGGAGAGGAAAATGATCTTTCTTAGTGTTTTTGTTCAACTTCCTATAATCATTGCACATCCTCCACCCGGTCACCGTCCGGGTGGAGATTTCCTCTCCTCCTTCTCCCTTGACAATGGTCATTCCACCCTTTTTTGGAACCACGTGAACCGGGCTAACCCACTTGCTATCGAAGATAGCATAGATTATACCCACCTCACGCAATTTCAAAATTTCTTTCTTGACAACCTCTTGGAGGTTGGGGTGGGTATAATCTATGCTATAGGCTCAATAGAGGTGGATTGGTCATCCTTAAGGTGAATACGATGCATGAATAAAGAAGGGATAATACCCTTGATATCATCAATGCTATACCTTATCACATTTCTATATTTTCTCAAAACAACAATCAATTTTTCCAAATAAAGACCATCACGGGAAGCATTGACAATAATAGGGTATTCCCCTTCATTTCCAAGATAAGCATATTTCAAAGAAGGGGGAAGGGGTTTGAGTTCTACCTTGGGAGGAGGCTTAGGACTCTGTTCCAATTTTTCCTCCTCAAATTCTAGCTCCTCATGCTTAGAATCACTCGCCTCCTCCTCTTTGGCTTCTTCAATGGCGATGGCAAACTCCTTTGCTTCTTGAGAGAAGTACTCTTTTTCGCATGTGAAAGCTTCAACCATTGGATCTTGGGGACTCATCATGAACTTTCCCAAACAATCTAGTTCTTCATTCACGACATCAACTCTATAGCACTTCTCAACCATGGGGGTCTTGAGTAGCTTGGAGAATTCAAAGACAATTTTTTCATCAGCTACCTCACATGTAATGGTATTGTTCTTGCAATTGATTACTGCCCCCAAGTTCTTAAGAGCTTCACGACCCAAAATCAAAGGTGTATCCACATCTTCTTCCATATCCATTACTACAAAGTCACAAGGCACATAGATATGCCCAACTTGAATAGGGACATCTACAAGCTCACCACAAGGTAGCTTCACCGAACGATCGGCCAATGGATAGTTTTCCTTGTGGGGATCATCTCAATGTTAAGTTTTTGAGCAATGGATATAGGGATCAAACTAACACTTGCTCCAAGGTCAGCTAAGGAACCCTTAGCTTCCATGTTCCCAATCTTAACCGGCAAGGTGAAGCTTCCCGGATCCTTTTGCTTCTTGGGCATTTTGTGTTGAACAAGTGCACTCACTTGAAGTGGAAGAGTGATAAGCTCATCATTAAGCTTCCTCTTGTTGGTGAGAATGTCTTTCAAGAACTTGGAGTATGAAGGCATTTGTGTGACAACCTCAATGAAAGGGAGGTTAATGTGTAAGTTTTTCATCACACTTAGAAACTTTGCAAATTTGTCATTCAATTTTCTCTCCGCAAGCCGACCGGGAAAAGGAACCGGTCCATCAAGATTTCTAGCCTCACTAGAAGTTGAGGATGTCACCACATCCTTTGAATACTTTTTCTCCATACTTCTCTCTTTCTCATCAACCTTCTCTTCTTCAACTTCTTTATCTTCACTTATCTTTTCTTCTCCTTCCTTCTTTTCCTTGCTATCCTCTTCTTTGGGACCCTCATAAGATGTACCCGATCTCAATGTGATTGCCTTGTATGTGTCAGGTCTTACAATGTTGGAAGGGTTGGTTTGTGATTGTCTTGGCAAAGTAGAAGATGAGTTGAAAGGAACCCTCTCGGACAATTGAGCTAGTTGTGAATCGACCATCTTGTTATGGGCCTTGACTTCTTGCATTTGTTGGTTCATGGCTTGAAGTTGTTGAAGAATTTGAGTTTGAGTAGAATCGGGTTGAGACACTTGCTCTTGACTTCTTTGAGTTGCTTGGTTTTGATTTTGGTATTGGTGTTGGTTATTTTGTTGATGGTTCTTTGGGTAGTTTCCTCCTGGGTTTTGGTTTTGATATTGGTTTTGGTATGGAGGAGGGTTTTGGTATTGAAGGTTGGAATTGTATGGTTGTTGAGCTTGTTGGTTCCATTGTTGATTCCATTGTTGGGGTTGGTTTCCAAATCCGGGTGGTGGTTGTCTCCAAGCTACTCCTCCTCCATTTGCCTTAAATCCTTCTTGCCTTGCGTTGTAATCCGCTACATGCTCCGGGCTTAAACCTCCACAATAGGATGTATCATGGTTTGTGCCACAACAAATTTGACAAGAGAAAGAGTTGACTTGGGAGGAGCTTGCACCACTATTGACATTGGTATTCAACTTTGCGAGCCCCTTTGTGAAAAACTCAATTTGATGTTGCAATTGATCAAATTTTTGCAACTCATATTTTTTGGCACATTCCTCCTTCTACATCCTCAAGAGTAGTTTTAAACTACCTCTTCAATTGTTGCTTCAACTTGATTTTGAGGGACATTGATCAATTGTCCACCCGCCCCCGCATCCAAATTAGCTCGAGACATCGGTTCCAGACCATCATAGAAGAACCTCATGAGTAAGCTTTGATTGTATTCATGGCGAACCTGAGAATTGCTCCGCTTGAACCATTCGAGTGTATTGAGGATGGATGGTGAAATTAGTTTCCGTGAAGGGTAGCAATATCCCACCGGTGAGCTCATAATCCTCCGGATTACCAAACTCATGAAATAAAACATCCGCTTGTTGTCCTGCCATTTCGTCACCTTGGGAATGTGAGGACTAAGAATCACTTTAACTATAAAAAAATGGCACCAAAACCTCGTCCCTCTTGTTGATAAAGTCTACGGACTTGTCTCAAGGTGCGGTCGATTTCGTGATCAAGGTTGTGAGTAGGTGGTCCTTGAGATATTCTTTGCATTCACCAAAGCTAAGCAAACAATTAGCAATGACTAGCAAGTGGAAAAAGAACAAAATAAAAAGCAACAAATCCACTAATAACGCAAATAAATGTGCAAAACAAGCCGCTTCCCCGGCAATGGCGCCAAAATTTGATCGGATGGTAATAGGTCGTTACAACTACCTAGACCAAAAATTACAATTTATATCTCCTATCCTAACTCTATCAATTTTACTTTAGATAGCGGTAAGGTAGGGTCGATTCCGAAGGAAACGGGGGTTTAGCACAATTAATACGAAATCTAGGATAAATTGCAAGTAACAAAAAGGGGGGGGGGTATTATGGTTTGATATTGAAGATTTCTATGATCAATCTAATAACTAAAAACAAGACAATTAATAAACTAAGGCTAACAAAATTACTCTAACAATTAACAAAGACAAACAAGTATTTGAAACTATGAGATTAAAAACGCTAGGGGGATCAGGGAACGTCAAACTTGGAGATTAAGAGCTAAACACATAGATAATCAAGGATTCACAAACAAGGGATCAAAAATCCTACTTAACACAACTCATTCCCATGCAATTGATTAAGCAATGTATAAACTACGATCTATCCTAACATGATCACTCCCGCGCATCAATTAGGACATGTAATAATATAGTCAATGGTGCACAACATCAACCATATAAAAATAAGCACAAGTTCATACAAAAAGGGTTTAAATCCCCAAAAATCAAGTATTTAATCAAATAGAAACCAAGTCATCCATTCCCCTTCCCATAGCTAAAAGTCTAGCCTAGGAGAGAGAAACTACTCTTATCAACAATACCCAAATTATTGGCCATAATCAAAGTCATAAACATAACTATCAAAAATACTTGAAATATGTAAATAAACCAAAATAAAGGAGATTAAGATAGAAAGAGCTTACAAAGCTTCAACTTTGTATTGAAATAAGAAAATGGGTTTTTGAACCTTCAATGGTGAACCACAAAAAATCCAATAGAATGCACCAATATTGATTACAAGGATGATCAAAGCACTAATCTATATTAAAGACTAAAGTTTGGATGATAAAAAACTAATAATCTAAACTTTCTCTCTCTAGAAACTTATATAAGCATTAATGGAGGCTATTCTCTCTCTAGAAATGTTCGAAGCACTTTGCCCTATATGGAATACCTACCTTCATTCCTTCCCAAATCAGCTTTTAAATAGGGAAATAAAAATGGGCTAGGCTGACAGCATGCACGTTCGCTACAGCTTTTTGCGCGCCCGCGCAGGATGATGTGCGCGCCCTCTGCTAAGGTCTGCGCGCCCGCGAACTTCATTGTGCGCGCCCTCTACTAACATCTGCGCGCCCGTAGAGTTTCTTGTGCGCGCCCTCTACTAACATCTGCGCGCCCGCGAAGTATACTGCGCACCCTCTACAGAGCGCGCTTGGCATCTACAGAAAGTTACCTTGTATCTTCAAGTGTTCAAGCTAATCTGCGCGCCCTCTCCAGGAATCATCGCGCCCGCGCAGGATGATGAGCGCGCCTTCTACAGGGCGCGAGGTATCTACGAGGTATACCTCCTATTTTGGCCTTGAATGCGCGCCCTCTCCCTTGGATTGCGCGCCCGCCTAGAGCGGGAGAGAGGGCTCTCCTAGGCGCGCAACCTGACTTGAAGCTCCTCACTTGATTTGCTATTGAAACCGGCTCTCGAAACTATCCCGAACTTTCTTCTACTTCATGTATCGATTGGTTTACCTGCAAAACACAAGAAAACACCCAAAAACAGTACAAAAAAGGTAAAGTAGAGGGGAAGTACAAGGGAAATAGCATTGTTGTGCAATATATGGAGAAGCGCGGCAAAATAGGGTTGAACAAGCGATAAATGGAGGGAAATGGTAGGAAAAAGGATCCCCGAATAGTGGCATAAATGCCACATATCAGACGTTTGACAACATCAAAATGGACCAGTACTCTAACAAGAGAACTTACAATACTCATGGTTGAGGAAAGAGGTTCCGATAGGCATAATGAGTAATATACTTATGACGATTTCAAATTTCTTTAAGTATTCTCATAGGTCGATCCGGTATAGTTCCAAACCAATACCTGTGCAAATGATTTATGACAATCATGTTCTTGTAGCACAAGAAACGATGCTATAAATCATACTACACACTAATCTCAAGTGGTCATTAGTCGTCCAACTTTTCTAATGACCTTGATTAGGGATAGTTTCGGTATGATATTCAATGTTCACTTAATAGGTGTTTTTTATCCAAGACTTATCTTGATACCCTATTTTGAATATCGTCAAATCGAATGGACTCATAATTTAATTCTAAACCACAATTAAATATTTTTGTGGAATAATTTGTAATTTTATTCCACTATGAAACTTTTAAACGTTTCATCTTATGATAAACGGTTTTCCCTAAATGTTTTAAGAGTAATACTCTTTACAAAACATTTATAGAAATTGCACCCATATTTAATATGCTTGATTTCTTTAATGCAATTGTGAATGTTGTGTATCACTTATTGCATGGGTTTATTTATGATTACCTTGAAAATATTAGCATCTTCATTATCGAACACTTTCATAATAAGATAATAAAATTTTAGTGCGTTCTTGATTAAATGTGATTTAGAATTTATTGTCCAAGTGATGGCTCCCACTTATTTTCATGATTTAGGATCTTCAACTTCACAACCTACAATCATCAACGTTCAACAATGAACTATCCATTGAACAACTTCCTTATTATTGCCTTTAAGGAAACAATATTCTAAACATATATTTTAGTAGACTTCTTAATGATGCTTTGCTTGGATTTCACTCCAAACGACTCACAATGATTTGAGGTACCCTAATCACTTGTGATCATGGAAATTTTCCCTAAATTTCCGCACATTACACATGGATGCACATCCATGTTACCATTCTCAGGCCATGACGCATCTTAGCTCGTGCTTATAAATGGCTTCCTTGTTGAGGATCTAATCCTTGTTAAGGTTGTGCTCGTAACATCAATACTAAAATTATATTTGTTTTCATGTATCAAGAATTCATCCTCTTTACTCATCTAAGTACTTTGGATGTTCTTGATCATAATCTAATGGTCCATTACTTAGATTCAAGTTGATTGGTACTTTATACTTCACATACTCTAGGCATGTAAGTCGTGTGACGATTTCATATAGTAGCATACATGACGAATTCGATTCCCAATTTTATTCCATTCACGTGACATTTTAGCTCATCTTGATTCATCGATTCTTGGTAAACTGTTTTCTATGTAATACGGTTGAAAGTCACTACTAGAGTCTTTCTTGTTTGACTTAGTATTAGCCTAGCTTATACTTAGTCCAAACATTTACTTAAGTTTATACATATGGGTCGAAGCCTTTCAAAGTCCTTCATGTTGAACACGGTAAATTTCTTTACTTGTTTTAACATTTTATTAAGTTTATACAATAGATCTTAATTCCCAATATGTAGTAAGTATCGCCTTTAGCTTGTTCCATCATTGAAAAAGTCTTTTAAATCTAAGCATTTATAATTTGATAGCTATTTCACAACAGAGTTCGTAAGCTTCTTGTTGGACCTTTAAAAAATTGACTTTTTCTCCCACTAAACATCTTTATTTAAAGAAATTCCATGTTTCTCAACAAGCCAAACCTTATATTACCTTTATGAGAAAACACGTTCCAATTCCTACATACATGCAATGCATCCAGCAATGGATTAATTGAGCTTGCTTTCAAATCTAGCACTATTTAGATTTACAAAACTGTTAGACTATTTCCATAGTCTCTTCCAAAATACTATTTCATGAAGGCGGTTTTGGTATCTATTTTGCCATATTTCATATGTGCAATTTTGCTAGAATAATCACGAAAAGACTTAAGCATTCTGATTGGTGAATATCTTTTTATTAAAAACAATACCGTGAATTAATTGTATCTTTGCAATAAATCTAGCTATGTATGCATATACATTTCCATATTTTTTAGTTTTCTCCTTAAAAACCTATTTGCAATTGATGGGTCTTTACCCTAGCTTTCATGCAAATTAATCAAGTTTCAAACATGATTTTTAAACGTGGAGTTTTTTTCGGAGTTTATGGCCTTTGGCCATTATTCGGAATTTGGATTTGTCGTAGCTAATTTACAAGACACTATTCCCTCACCATCTAATAGTAAATAGTATGCTTGTAAGTCTTAGTTTTATTTCTAACTTAATAGAAATTTATAGGATTCAATGCAAGCCTTTGGTGAATTATATACCTATACGGGGTAATCACATCAAACATTGAGTTTCAAGGTGATTTTAAAGCCCTTTGATGATATTGATCTTACTCCAACACTTCTAATGTTTTGTGATTATTGAATTCTCATTTAAGGCACTTGTAAAGTCCTTTGAGTATTCTTGATCAATTATTCTCATGAAGCTCTTCTAAAGTCTTTCGATATTCTCAGTTTTAGTATGTTGCTAATCTCGATAGTCATCGAGTTCATTTTCCTCCCACTTGTCGTTTTGGAAATGTGTTACTTTCTAGAAAGACCCCACTTAGAACAACAAATACTATTTTTTCAATTAGGTTGTGGAAGTAATGCCTGTAGTCTCACTTGAATGCTTACCAAGAGACATGTATATTGTCTTTGGGTAAAAGTT